GACATCCAGCATTTGCTGGGCATTACATGGCTCACTCTCCTCTGCCTGATTGGCTGAGGTCAGGCCACCCAACGTTTTTGCAGGACTGAAGTAGCTGTGGGCAGGGGCTTGGAGCTAACGTTGCAGGCAATGCTTTTGTTTAAATATGGAAGAGTGAGTCGGAAACCTTGGCAGTAAAGGAACTTCAAAGAAGTCCTTCAAGAATATTCCTTCTTTGTGCTGCTTTAATATCTTCAGATGGGTGAAATAAATTCAAAAACCAAAATGAACAAACAAAGGGGCTGGGGGGCAGTGATATGTGTTCCTGTATTTTCTGAAGCCACAAAGCACCGGGTTTTATGCCCCGGAGGCTCCTTGACCCTCTCCTTTTCCCTCTCCCTCCCCCTTCACTGCCTCCCTCCCCTCTCCCTCCTCCTCTTTGTGCACCTCCCCCTCTCCCTTCCAGTCTCTCTCTCTCTCTGAGATGGGGGCTCAGTAACTGTCATCAGTTTAAGTCATCCATGCAAGTCTTGGGGAAAAACAAAAACAAAAACAAAAACCTCTGCAGATCAGGGGGGAAACTGTGGGTTCAGATCCCAGATCTCCACTGGGGCTTCTGACTCTCTGAGCTTCACTTGTATTATCTGGAAAATGGAACCTTTAGAGTCTTTCATCCACCTCAGAGGCTGCTGTTGGAGATGACCTTGAGGAAGGGTCCCTGTGTTGCAGACATGTTGACTGCACAAGGTATCACCACATCTTTATGCTGTGGAATAATCCTTTTGTACACTGTGAAGATGTGCTGCTCCCATTGGTTTAGGGAAGAGTCAGCCAATAGCTAGGCAGGAAGAGGTCAGGCAGGCGAACCAGACTGAGAGAATGCTGGGAAGAAGAAGGGCAGAGTGGCCAGCCAGACACAGAGGAAGCAGGACATGTAGATGATGAGGTAACAAGCCATACCATGTGGAAGCATGTAAATTAATGAATACGGGTTAATCTAAGTTGTAAGAGCTAGTTAGTAATAAGCCTAAGCTATTGGCCAGGCATTTATGATTAGTAATAAGTCTCTGTGTGGTTATTTGGGAGCTGGCTGGTGGGACAGAAACTTCTACCTACAGTTTTACTTTTGGAATATTAAACCTAAGGCCTTTCATGGTGTCTGCTATGGAAACACAATAAAAATCAACTTCATACATCTGCTGTTTTAGTACTTTTTGTCTCAGAGGATACATATATGTTTTATTTTCTGTATATAAGCATCGTGTCTGCATGCATGAATGTGCTCAATGTGTATGCAATGCCTGTAGGTGTCAGAAAGGGCTTGGGGCTCCTGGAACTGGGGTGACAGATGGTTGTAAGCCACCATGTGGATGCTGGGAGCTGTGGAGGTATTGTGTTCCCCAAAATATTGTACACCCTAATAAATTTATCTGGGGTCAGAGAACAGAACAGCCCCTAGATACAGAGGCTAGAAAATGGTGGCACGCACACCTTTAATCCTAGCATTCCAGAGACAGAAATCCCTCTGGATCTCTGTGAGTTCAAGGCCACATTGGAAACAGCCAGGTATGGTGACACACGCCTTTAATCCCAAGAAGTGAGCCTTTAATCCCAGGGAGTGATGGCAAAAGCAGAAAGATATATAAGGTGTGAAGACCAGAAACTAGAAGCATTTGGCTGGTTAAGCTTCAGGCTTTCGAGCAGCAGTTCAGCTGAGAGCCATTGGGATGAGGACACAGAAACATCCAGTCTGAGGAAACAAGACCAGCTGAGAAGTTGGCCAGGTGAGGTTAGCTGTGGCTTGTTCTGTCTCTCTGATCTTCCAGCATTTACCCCAATACCTGACTCAGGTTTGATTTTATTAATAAGAACTTTTAAGATTCCTGCTACAGGGAGCCAAATCCACATCTTGTGCAAGAGCAGATGACAGAATTCTATTTATTTATTTATTTATTTATTTATTTATTTATTTATTTATTTATTTATTTATTTATTTGTGTGTGTGTGTGTGTGTGTGTGTGTGTGTGTGTGTGTGTGTATACTATTCTAATTGTACGCATACCATGTTTTTAAAAATGCATTCACCAGTTGATGGATACTTGGGTTGTTGCCATTTTTTTAGTTGTTGACGACAAGGCTTCAGTGCATGGGAGCAAACATGGAATTTCATTCCCTTTAGTTATACACACAGCAGTGGGATTGCTGGATCATGGATTTGGTTAACTGGCCAAAGAGAAAATTCCTTTCTTTAAACTTTTCATTGAATCTGTAGGGGCCTTACTTGATTTTCGTATTTGGTAAATATGAGACATAACATGAATCTTAATATTTTCATTTTAGCTAATAATTCCTTTATTTGAAAATAACAGCTCCTTGTCTTAACAGAGTAGAGGTTTAAGTAGATGTAGGTTGGAATCTGAGATCCATGGGCTCTTACCTCTTAGAGTGTAATGCTTACTTTTTCAACGATGATTATTGCAATAATTCACAGGTATTTTTATTTAGCCGATAGTGAGGCCATATTACAGTAAAATGACATGTATATTAAATCTTTTGTAATCTCTGCTTCTCTAGCTGATAAGCAAAACACTTGTTCATGGAAAAGAGCTCAGGCTGAGCCCCCGAGAGCATGACAGCCATGCTGCAGAAGGGGAGAGAGCCATCCCAAGGACCACGGGGGTTCTGCAGTGGCTTCTCAGACTTCTCCTTGAGGCCACTTTTTCCTGAGAAGTTTTTACACAAAGCTGGATATACAGGCATATAAAACAGGCAGAAACAAAACATTATAATAAGTTTATTTTAAACAAACTCTATGGTATACATGTAATTTTAACATTTATTAACGACAAAAGCAAACTCACATAACTAGATGGATGTGCCTGTTTGTGTTCACGCAGGGAGTTGAATCTTGTCTGGACACTTGATGCTGCTGGGCATGGAGCATCTTCAATGTTTTTCAGAGTTCATGGATGTTTTGGTTTCGTGATCATCAATGCTGAGAACACAGATTTTCACTAATATGTAGTACTGAAGAGCTGAAGTGTGCTGAGAGTCTTCTCAGAAATGGAAATTCTGTCCTAACTGAAAGCCCAAATCCAATGAATAGTTAAAACAAATCAACTCAACTCAGCAGCCCAGATTAGCAAATTTTAAAGTAAAATTCTCTAACATAATACAACCCAAAGATATAATCATTTGATACATGCTAAGAAATCGTAGGGAATATTACAAATCTTTGTTTTTCATAATGGAAGCATTTTGTGTCTACAAGCACAAGAAACTTTTATTTAGACAGTAAAAACATGCAGTTAATTTGACTTTGTGTTACAGATACCACAGCATTGCATCTGAGCCAGGCAGTGGTGGTGCACGCCTTTAGTCCAAGCACTTGGGAGGCAGAGCCAGGCAGATCTCTGTGAGCTTGAGGACAGCCTGGTCTACATAGTGATTTCCATGTCAGTCAGGGCCACATAGTGAGACGCCGCCTCAAAACCAACCAATCAAACAACACCCCCAAAAATATCCAAATGGTCTTGAATCGAAGTGGAGGTGTCTTGAGGACTGTTCATGGGCGTAGTCTGTTGTGATCCCACATGCCGGGAAATGCGTGCTCAGAATCAAGGCTACAGTGGGGTCTTGGGACGCAGTCAGACGGCCCTGCCAGCCACACCTTGGATTCTGTATGTGGTTTTGGATTAATTTTCAGTCATTGTGTGTTGAGGACCCTCCCCTTATCAAACTTTTGTGACCCTCACATTCAACTGTGTGACCCCACATGGGATCATAACCCACAGTTTTAGAAGCTGTCAGTTAAGCTATCGGTTAATTATATAAGAAAAACTTAATTTAAAAATTGACTTCTGGTCATATGAAGTAGTTAAAGAATCAGGTTTGGGAGTGATTGTAGGCTCTATAATTTTGAGCAAGGAACTCTTAGATTTGATGAATCTGATTTAAGATGAAATAGTACGTATTGATTACTCTGAGACCACAACATTCTATGAGTTAGTATCTCAGCCAGTGCAATTTGTAACAGCTCTCCAAGGTTGGTGGCAAATCCTGGAAGCCTGTGCCTTTCAGGAGGAGGAGGGGAGTATTTTTAGATTGTCAAGGGGGACCCTACAGCCCTAACTGCAGATGGGGATGGGGGAAGGAAGTAAGGAAACATCACCATGAGGGGTGAGAATTCCAAACTTGGAGGCTGGTCTGAACATACATGAACATGAACAGTACCTCCAAATGCGAAAAAAGAGTAAAGTCAAGGTCTCATTTAGCCCTTACCCCAATCTTGAAGAAAAAGACAAACTCATCATCCATAAGGTTATCGACTTGCCTGAGGACTCAAGGTCACCAGCCCAAGTGGAAGAGTTATTCCTTCCATCCCTTCTTTTGGATTTCTTTTCTCAAGGGTCGTGTATAAAGAAGCCAGGGAAGTATATTTACTCTTCATGAAGGCGGAAGGCAACAAGGCACAAATAAAACCTGAAATCTTGAAACAGAAACCGGGAAAAACCCTTTCTGTGTTTGGTGTATACGGCTGTTTGCAGCTCCTTTTTCTGGTTCACCCCTGCAGAATGACTGGGAGCAGTTGTCTCTGGGTTACAGCCAGTAGGGGGTCCTAGAGTGGCCCTGAGTTCTACTTTCTGCTCACACTGTGGTTGGCTCTTTGGAGACTTTGGAACGCCATCCGAGGTGGCAGGCAGTTTTCTGTTTGACTCTGTGTGTGTGTGTGTGTGTGTGTGTGTGTGTGTGTGTGTGTGTGTGTGTGTGTGTGTGTACACGAGAGAGAGCGCGTGTGAATTTCTGTTGGTTCGAAGGGTGATATTAATGATCTGGCCCGGCGTGTCTGACAAGTGGGTTACTCCGGCAAGTGTCAGTTGACTGACAAACCATCACCAAGCTTTTTTTTTTTTTTTTTCCTTCTGGCTAGTTTTGTTGGGCGATGCACAAGTTGGCCACTGGATGGCACTGTTTCCCCACGGACCGATCTTCTCCCCTCCCCCACGCCCTCCTAGCGAGGACAAAAGCGGCTGGAAAAGTGGTCCAGGTGCTGCCATTCTGAGCTGCTTTCTCCTCAGTAACCCGTGTGCTCCCGGGAAGGAGAAGACCCCGAAGTCACACAATTCAGGGTATTTTTTTTTCTCCTTTCTGTAATCTACATGCAGAGCCTTTGTGTTTTCTTTCTTTTTTTGTGTGTGTGTTATTTCCTTTTCATCTCGCCTAGTTTTCGTTCACGAACACCAGCAGATTTATTTTCACCCTGCCTTAGAGACAGGGACATTCTGTGAACGCTGGTCCCCAGGAGACTGTGTGGTTTTAGACACATCTGTAATATGAGGCGACAGTAGGCACTGGGGAGGATCCCTGCCCGTGATTGGTGCCTTCGGGGAGGCCCTGGAAGCTGGGTTCTCACTGGGCCGCAGTGAGACACTGATATCAAACTGCACTGCACGTTATTTCTGTGGCCTTTGGACGACTTGTGGTCATCCAGACAGTCTTCCAACCCTCCATGTAGAGTTGCTGGGAAATTATAAGTCCCAATAGAAATTTCTTAATGCCTCAGGGCTTTCGGTTGAAGCCCTCGCTGATGAAATGGCCCCAGAACACGTGGCCTCCCCTCCCCTCCTCCCTGTGTACTTTGGGTGCCTCAAGGTAGCTTGAGGTATCTTTAGGGGTCTTAAAGATGGGTTGGGCTGCCGGGCGGTGGTGGCGCACGCCTTTAATCCCAGCACTCGGGAGGCAGAGCCAGGCGGATCTCTGTGAGTTCGAGGCCAGCCTGGGCTACCAAGTGAGTTCCAGGAAAGGCGCAAAGCTACACAGAGAAACCCTGTCTCGAAAAACCAAAAAAAAAAAAAAAAAAAAAAAAAAAAGATGGGTTGGGCCGAGCCTCGCTCCCATTGCTATGCTTGTCACACTCGTGCGTGGTCCCTGCGGCTTTCATGCTCTGTCTTGGGACCTAGAAAAGGACAATCTAAAGGCTGGACGGGCCTTGAGAGCTTAGCCAGTTCATCTCCATTTTTGTATATGTGTGTGTGTGTGTGTGTGTGTGTGTGTGTGTGTGTGTGTGTGTGTGTGTTATACGTGTGAATGTGTGTGCAGGTACACATGACCAGTTGTCTTCCTCTTCCATCTTTATTTATTTTTTTTTCCGAGACAGGGTTTCTCTGTGTAGCTTTGCGCCTTTCCTGGATCTCGCTCTGTAGACCAGGCTGGCCTCGAACTCACAGAGATCCACCTGCCTCTGCCTCCCGAGTGCTGGGATTAAAGGCGTGCGCCACCACTGCCCGGCCATCTTTATTTTTAAGACAGGGTCTCTTACTGAATCATAAGCTCACCATTTCAGCGAGGCTGGCTGGTCACCCAGCCTTTTGGAGGCTCAGGTCTTGACTCACAATGCTCCACTTACTGGCACACTCATCAAAGCCTAGTTTTTTGAGGGTGCTGGTACTTCTGCTCAGTCCTCATGCTTCAGACCAAATGTTCCCATCTACCCAGCCAACCCCCAGCCCCCAGCCCCCAGCCCCAGCCCCCAACTCCCAGTTCCCAGGCCCCAGCCCCCAGCTCCCAGTTCCCAGGCCCCAGACCCAGCTCCAGTCCTCAGCCCTTTTCTTTTTAACTTTTTAATGCATTCTTTGACAACTTCATGCACTAAACAATGTCTGTGCCTTGTACCTACCCCATCTCCAATCCATCCTAGACCTCATCTCTCACATCTCCTTACAAACTTCCTCTCCTCTTCTTCTTCACCCCTGAGTACAATTGCTGTCACCCATTTGCTTAAAAGGAGAGGGCACCTTCCAATGAGCATGGGCACCCCACAATGGCCGCACTGCTGAAGAGAGCTGACCCTTCTTCCCCAAGTGGCCATCAACTGACAATAGGTTCTCCGCTAGGGGCGGGAGCTCGTAAGCTCCTCCCCCTTCGTGTTGGAGTGTTGATTGACTTGATCTTGCACAGGTGGTCTCTCTCTCTTTTGAGACAGGGTTTCTCTGTGTAGCCCTGGCTGTTCTGGAACTCGCTGTGTAGACGAGCCTGGCCTTGAACTCAGAGACCCACCTACCTTTGCCTCCCGAGTGCTGGGATTAAAGGTGTGCACCACCACTGCCTGGCAATTTTGTGCAGGCCTTAGGCAGGCAGCCGTAACTGCTATGAGTTCATGTGGTCTTGTTAACATCCAGAAGACATAATTTCACAACAATCATTCCTGACTTCTGGCTCTTAAAATCTTTCTACTCCTCTCCCATGATGCTCCCTCAGCCTTGGGGTATAGAGGGGGCATGATACAGATTTCCCATTTAGAGCTGAGACCTCCACGGTCAAGTATCCTCTGCACTTTGACCAGTTATGAATCTCTATATTAAATGTTGTTGTCTGCATAAAGAAGTTTCTGTGATTAAGGGTTGCTCTGGCCTATGTGAATAAGGATAAGTATTTGTAAGACAGTTTGATGTTACCTCCCTTTAGCAAGATAATAGTAGTAGGGTTTAAGATCTACCCAGCCACAAGTTCTTGGCCAGGTTTACAGCACTAGCCATCAGTTCCCACCTGTGGGTCAGGACTTAAGTTAATTAGAATTAGAAAGATGTTGGTGACCCCCACAACATCCATGCCGCTATTTCACCAATTGGCATGTCTTGTCAGGCTGGTGACTATTATAGCTTACAGAGTTCACAGCTGGTTAAGACTGCTGATGGCTTCTTTCCCAGAGCAGCCTGCCAAGCACCCCCTGCCCATCTCCTCTCTGAATGCTTCTGGCATCCCCAGGAGAACCAGCAAACCTGGAACACTTGGAGGGTTTTCTTAACCCACTCCCTACAGGATAAGATCTACGATCTGAGTGGGGAGGGCTTGGTGACTGGAGTCCACTTGGAAGACCTGCTAGCTGCTCTCTAGCCTTCCCATCCCCGATCCACATATGGCTGCCTGTTACACACCACGGCTCCTGTCCTCTAATGGGGATGAGAAGGATCGCAGCTGAGGGTTTGGAATCAAACACATTTCAAACTAGTGAATAATGAAAGCCACCATTAGCTGAATCCTCTCTCTGGACAGGGCCTGGGCTAAGCCTTTTATCTCCACAATTTCATTTAATCCTCAGTACTGTTCTGTAAGATACTCTGAGTCATCCCTAATTTACAGATGAGAAAAGTGGGGAGCAGAGAGGGGTTAAATATGTGCACAAGCCACTTAGCCAATCTTGTCCAAACCCATTTGAACTGCAGCTGCCCGACTCCCTTGCCTTTTAAACCAGTCTACAACTCAGTCAGTTGGCTCAATGTTATAGCCTTTAACTAGGATGAGGGGGTGATCCTCAGTCCAGCTCTACACCTCTCTCCTAGCCCTGGTATAGCGATTTGGAGCTGCACAGAACAAGTCCAAAGAGTTAGCTCTGCACAGCTTCTATTTCTCAGCACACTTTTATGTGTGAGTGTGTGATCATCCACTACACACACGAGTGTGTATATTATTTTTTGGTGCATCTGTGCGAAGGCAAGAGATCAGTCTTAGATGTTGTTTTCAGGAGCCATCCACAGTGTCCTTTTGAGACAGGGTTTCCCACCGGGATCTGGGGCTCACTGGGCTATGCTGGATGGCCAGTGAGCCCTAGGACCCCAACTGTCTCTGTCCCCCTCAGTTCTGAGATAGCAAGTGTGCACATAGCACCAGATGTTTATTTGGGTGCTGGGGATTGATCTCAGGTTCTCATGGTTGCATAGTAAGCCATTCACTGATGGAACCCTCACCCATCACCCAGGACTCCTTTAGTTTCTTGTGTTAGCTGAGCGCCATGGTAGCTGAAGGATGCCGTCCTGGGTCATGGAGACTATACTCCCTCACATTCTTAACTAGAACCACCAAGTCAGTTAAACTTATCACTTGCCAAAGACAAAACTCTGAGAGCTTGTGCCAGTCACAAGGCTTTAACCAGGCTCACTCCTGAGCACAGGGCTAGGTGCACTGGCTTCAGGGAGGCTGAGAGTGTTAGAACACATACACAGAGCCCATCACCCTGTGCACACGGCTTGAAGACGTAGCATGTACCCAGCAGAGGAGCCTGTGAATCCCTGACTATGTCAGAAGCAGAAAGGAGGGATGCTGCCATTTATAGCCAGCTGTATCCTGGAGGGTTCAACCTCTGCCTATCGATTGTCTTAGGGTTTCCATTTGTATTGATTGAGGTAATGCCAATGACATTTACCTGACTGAATATTCATCACTGTCTGAATTGGAAATAGGTCATCTGTGTTAGGGGTGGGGGTAGGGGGCAGCCGTAGGCTCTCCTGGTCTTGGGGATTGGCAAGCTTGAACTGGTTCAGGAGACTTGAATGCTCTGTTCAGATCTTAATTGCTCCTTAGAGGCCACCAGACACCCAGTTAGCTTCTTCTTCTATGAATGCTGGTATTTTCTTGACTTCACTATCTTATGAAATTGCAAGAGGCAGGCTACTGTGTGGAACTTAAACTTGTCATGAAGGATTTGCATTTGATGTACTAAGCATGTTTCTGGATTTGTCCTAAGGACTTTCCAGAGCACTTTCATATTATATTGTGCTGTTCCACAGTGGAGGGAAGAACATGGACCCTCATAGGGATGCTTAAAGCAGGGCAGCATGAACCTCCACTTGGTCCACTGTACCTTCTCAGGAGCAGGCAGTGAGGGACCTACCAGGTGCACATCCCTGCCTCATACAGGGTACTTCCAGAAAGCTGAATTTTTACATGATGGGGAGGCCTTGGTCAAGGTTCTGCTGTGACAGACCAGGGCCCGAGTGTTGTGGGGTAAAAGAGCCAGCCAAAGAAACCCACCCTGGCCCCGAAACCAGAGCCAACCAAAGAAACCCACCCTGGCCCCGAAACCAGAGCCAGTGAAATAAACACACCCTGGCCCTGAACCCAGAGCCAGCCAAAGAAACCCACACTGGCCCCAAACCAGAGCCAGACAAAGAAACCCACCCTGGCCCCCAAACCAGAGCCAGCCAAAGAAACCCACCCTGGCCCCGAAACCAGAGCCAGACAAAGAAACCCACCCTGGCCCCCAAACCAGAGCCAGCCAAAGAAACCCACCCTGACCCCGAAACCAGAGTCAGTGAAATAAACACACCCTGGCCCTGAACCCAGAGCCAGTAAA